GCTTTGCCTCCCTTCTATTCCGCCACCTCATCAATTAGATGACTGTAAGCATAACACGTGTACACATTACTTCAACGCTGCGCTTTATATACTTTCTCTAGCGGGCTTCGTCCGAATTTTTGGCCTAATATTAGCATAATTGGTCTGTGGAATGAAAATTGCTCTCCCGTGAGCCTTCCTTCACGAAATTAGCCAATTAAAGTTCTTCAGCCCGTCAGCTCCAATCACCGTCTTCAATTATGTGTTACAAATAAATATAGGGTTCTTAGTGGTCTTCCACCTTCCTTTCCTCCCAGTTAATGGATTTTCTTGAGAGTCATTTGAAATGAATCCTCATTACAATTCGAGGATCGAAATGATTAAGTGTCGTTTCGTCTCATCTTCTTCTCCATGGAGATGGAGACGTTACGGCTAAATTGATACGCCATTAAAGAGGTTCTTAACTCACTTAACTTACTTCGACCATGATCTCTCATTGCACTCTCCTCTTCCAGGCGGTGCATCTACATATATAAAAAGGTACGACTCCATACCGTAAACAACATCATAACAACACTTAATATCAGTTGACACTCTAGAAAGGTTAACGGATCTCTCTTCCTTGGTGATTTAAAGGTTGGTTGGTGTTCATCCTCTGTCGAGGTTCTACTTCTGAGGTTTTGGGAAGCCATGAACGTCAAAGGCGGCAGAGAGCTTATGGGTGTGGACATGCTCCTCCTCACGCCAAGGTAATACTGATGAAAAACTTATGAACATCAGGTGCTTTAAAACAAAAGGTTGTGTTAAAAGTTAGAAAACAACCTTTTGATTCAGCAATAACACATTCGGAAGATGTTTTCACATGAAAGCTCTCTTCTCTCTCTGTCTTTTATCTCCTTTATGTTACTCTGTTTTGATATTTGTTTGATCCAGTGTTACTTAGTGTTATTTCTAATATTTCATCCCACTTTCAGTAACCTTAAGACAAGATGAAGCAGATAAACAATTTGGTTCACCAATCTGAGGAAGAGGAATTGGCACAGCAATCCATCTTTGTCCACTGTCTTGAAGAACAAACACAAAAGGTATACTATATTAGTATATATTTACAGAACACTTCTCTTTGTCTTAAAGTCTGAAACAACTTTGTGTGGAAGAAAGCAATGCAGGTGACGAGAGCAGAAGAGTTCATTTCACGTAGAAAGAACAAATCTAAATGGAATCTTCTTTTCTTTTGAACATTAAAAAATTGTATCTAAGTGGAATCTTTAATAGAGAAGAATGGAGTGGAATGGGGGTTCTGCTTATGATCCCTGGAGAGAAACTCTTTTGGTGTATGACTTATTTTCAAGTTTCGACAGCTTAGGAAGGTGTGTGCTAAAGAAGGTTTTGTGGTTTGAGATTAGAGAAGCTATGTTCTATAATGTGAAAAACTGGTTTGTTGCTGGAAATTGGATCAACGTTATTTTGGTTGTTTAATTTTTGTCCCCTTTTGATTGTGGTACCTGATGACATTATTGGTTTGAAAATATTAGACGCTAAAAATCAACAAAAGTATAGCCTTTGTGATTTAGTTTATGTATATATGCAATAATGTCCTCTTCACACAAGAATCGATGCATAGCAAATCCAAAGCACTTCTTCTACTCTCAGGATTTCCTGCAAAACACGTTTCTAGAAAATCTCGTACGTGCATCGGACGGCACAAACTCTGGAATCTCAGGCGCTTCTCCACTCAACAAAACAGACGCAAGATCACCAAACTCAGCCTCAGACCATGGCTCACCCACATACATCTCCAAAACTACGCACATAAACAAAATGAACCAAAAAAAAAAGAACCAAAACATTAAAAAAGGTTCGGATGTGAAAACACGAAAGGCACGAGTGGATGGCTAATGTCTGCATTATTTTTCTCCTTTTTTCTTATTAAATAATTATTTGGTCCTCATCCCATAACATTTTCCATTATATTTTTGCATTCCTTTGTTTCAAGATTATTATTTTCTACATTTCATGTAATTTTGTGGTAGTTATTTTAAATTTCAAGAGGTGTTTTAAATACCACAATAGCTCAATGCATATTTTTTCCTTCTAGCATGTTCTTTTTATTACTAAATTATATAATTTCATAATCTATAACCATTTTAAGTTTTTTAGAATATTAAAATATGAATTTTATCTTTTCTTTTTCTCTCTTAAAAAAAATCATCACAATTGAAAAGAACTATCAGTTAGCTGACCATTTTAATTTTATTGAAATATTTTTCTTGCTTTTGATTGAATCGGATTGATTTATGTGTGTTTATAGTGTTATAAAACTGGAAACACCATTAAAACAGCCAACATACTTACCATCTGGTCGTTTTTAATTATAGAATAGGAATTTGGTGTAGACAATCATCATACTTACACCCAATTTGATATAAAAGAAAATTTACAAAAAATTATATCTTCTTAAAAAACTTATCCATTAAATCCCGCCTGTCGGATTATAATAGTTGAGTTTCAAGACTCCTCAGAGTGCCACCTCAACATCATGTGAGTCTCACTTTAAAAACATGTGAAAAAATGTCAACTTATAAATTCGAACCCGAGTTATTAAGATATAAGTGATAACAATCATACCACTAAACTAAAGGATAACTTGTACACTAATGGTCGAAACTAATATATATTTATGAAAGTCGGAAACGTTTGCTTCTTTGGCTTCCTTTGAGGGTTGGGTCTGCAAGTGCATTATGAGTTTCATTTTTAATTGGGCTTCATCACGTTACATGAAGAAAAATCTCAAGTTTACAACAGTTATAGTTTTTCCATATTGTTAACCGTCGTCATTTAACATAAGTTAAGATTCTTTTCATCATCGTTTCAGACATTTCAGAGTTACAGAGGTGTGTCGTGTGTCTGTTAGTAATCTACTTTTTTCACCGGTGAACTCTTCATCTCCATATCTTACATCGCTTGATCATAAATGTTCTTGATTTGTAGCCCCTCTGTAAATCATATATATATGATTCTCATCTTTGATGAACCCTATCTGCATTTCCACAAAACTCATCGTTACCTCTTAACTTTAACCATCTTCTAGAAAATGTCTCTCTCTGCTTCTCCAGTTCCTAAAACTAGCGTCATCTGTGTCCATCATGCAACATTTGAGTCTCTCTGTCATGTTAAGGTAAACATATGCCATACCAACCAAATTAACATATAGAACCTCAAAGCATTCAGTATGGGTTTTAGTAAACGAAACTAATTACAATAGAAACGAAGTCATAAAACAAATTAAAACCTTCTTATTGCAGGTTCCGAGAACGCCGAATCAACAGATTTCACTGAGTAAAGAATGCGGCGGAGACAGCCTTAACGAAGGTGAGCAGATCTCTCTTCCATGCCACTATAGAACAACTATAATTTCACAAAATGACACACTCATCAGGCCAAGAACCGCAAGAGCTTGTCACACTGCTGAAGACGACGAAGAGAAACAAAAAGGGAGGAGTAAATGATTATTCCAGTTTTAGACCTAAATTGAGACTCAAGGGCCATCGAATTTCAAGCCCAATCATTTAAAAAGTCCAGCTACTACGTTTTTCATTGTGTTCGAATATAGACCTATACCACTTTAAACTTTTTAATCTACCATTCTCATTTTTTAATCTACCACAAAATATTTTTGACAAATACAAAAAAAAGATCACTATCTTAGTCATACATGTATATAATTATACACAATTATTGCATTATTAAACTACAATTATATTTTTCAAAAACATGTCATGGCACATTAAAAAACAGACTATATTTCTATTCGGATAACAAAATTATTTCTTCTTTGTTCCCATATTAGAGTTATATTTTGACAAATACAAAAAAAAAAAATTATCTTAGTCATACATGTATATAATTATACGCAATTATTCGGCTACATATGGTTATTAAATCGCTAATAACGTTAACATCCGATTAAATCATAAAAAAATGTAAAAATACGAACATGTATGAATTCGTTAAACACTCTTATCTGCAAATAAAAACAGGTCTTTACTCACTAGTAAATATTAACCGCTAAACATTCCGTACAACCCTTTAACAACCACGTTTCTCCTTTCTCTCTTTAAATCATTAAACTATATTTCTTTGTATAATTAAAAAAATCTTATAATTTTTTTTTTAAATGTCAATTCACTATTTAGCAATAATAAACTACCAACCTACAATTAAACAATAACAACCTAGTAAACCACCCATCCTGGACATGAAAACACTAATAACACAAATACTCGAGAAAATCATTACTAAAATATAATATATAAATATTTCAAAGCATATGAATTCCCACTCATTCGTATATCAACTCAATTCAATCGGATGGATTTTCGGTTAAACCCTGGACAAAACAATGTCACAAAACAAACGACAAAATCCCATCCTAAAACATTACAACGCATCTTTACTGTCTCCCACCCCGCGCTTGTGCGGCGGCTATGAACCTAGTATATTTCAATCAGACAAGAAAGTAAAGCATATTGGGTCATAAATTAATGAGAAGAATAATACCCCTGCATTATTTTGCAGAGTAAGTGAAAAGTATGAATGTCGAAAATAATGGAAAAGGAAAATAAGATTGAAATCATACTCTAAATACAAACTAGGTGTTTTCGTGCACCATGTGCAGTGATAAAATTTTTAAGCTTAAATTATATTTAATAATAAATTTTATTAATATCATAGATTTTGTTATTTTCTTACCAATATTTAAATATAGATTTGATTTAGCTAAACATTAAATTAAGATAAAATATATTTTTTTATTTAAAATTATATTTAAGAATATATATGTATATATTTAAAAGTATAATCTTAGATAGATTTTTGGGGAAAAGTTTGCAGCTACACGACGTATCTAATATGGTGGAAACCATCCAATATATCATAATGTGTCAATAACTACACGATGTTTATGTTAATACAAGACACATATACAAAGTTAATTATTATATGGTGTCAGCATCACAATCAAGTTTAATTGGTTCTAATCAAAGTTATTGGGGCCAAAATATAATTAATCATAAAATTAAATTAAAACTAAAAAACTAGGAAGTAAACTGTACCAAAGGATTCTTCGTTGATTTTATGCTTTCTTAACAAAGAGAAAATAAGAAGACAATGAGACATGGAGAAAAAGAGAGAGAGAGAGAGAGAGAGAGAGAGAGAGAGAGAGAGAGAGAGAGAGAGAGAGAGAGAGAG